TGTGGGCGGGCGGGACCCTGGGCAGGGCGAGGCCGCGGGGGAGAGCAGCCCCTGAAAGTCGAGTGGTCTGCAGTGGTGCAGCGGTCAGCGCCGTGTCCCACGCGTGGGGCGCTGGAAGGAGTTTGCTGGTGGCTGTGCCACGGGTACCGAGCCACGCTCTCCTCTGGTTTCGCGGGGAGGTGGGAGGTTTGGCTGTGCGGCTCCTCTGTGCGTGCGGCAGCTCCAGGAGCCGCGTTCTCGGCGCGGTGACGGTCGTGCCCGACCAGCCCCAGGGAGGGAAGCCCCTCCGGTCAAAGCGTGGAGTTGCGCCTGTAGCTGCTGGCGTGAAGAAGATGCTGTTGGTCAGAGAGCTCTGTCTTCGCCTTCCTGAAGGACACGGGCTTTTCTGCACGACTCCGTGAACCTGCGTTATTTCTGAATAATGTATAACCTGTTCTTCCAAGATCTCTCGGGCTTGGCCCCCCGTTTCCTTCTGCCCCAGACAACCTCTTGCAGGCAAAGCAGCCGGGCTGGGGTGGGTAAGTGCCCCCGGCCCCCTGCGGGGTGAGCACCAGAGGGGAGAGCTCTCACCCCCCTCAAAGAGAAATGTGGTGAAGGAAAAGCAAACGTTTTGTTTTGTCATCGGGTCAAGCTCCGTGCTCACGAGAGCTAATCAATTGTCATTTTCCTAGATCTTCGCATGAATTGAAGGAAGAGAGGTGAGCTTTTCGGGAGGGCTTTTGGAGCAGAAACCAGCCTGCTCTGGGAATTCTTGCAAAAATAGTGCATGAATTGAAGGAACAGAGGTGAGCTTTTCGGGAGGGCTTTCCAGCCTGCTCTGGGAATTCTTGCAAAAATAGCATCTGAAATAACTTTTTGATTCTTCTGGTAGGATCAGAGGAGGAGAGAAAAGGTCCGAGGGCTTAGGGATGTTTCTCTTTACGTATTAAATGTGGTGATATCAAGCCTGGTTTTGAAGTACAGATTAAAATTTTATATTGTTCCACGTAGCCTCATAAAATATATAAATATGGGTCACAATAATGATATTGTGCTATAGAAAATACTTTTTACTACATGGTTTCCTAAGTAATAAAGAGATTGTGGTTGTATATTGTACTATACGATTACATTCCAATTTAGCTTTGCTAGATATTAAGAAAAAAAATCTATTTTCTAACGCTATACTGTAAGCATTTCTCAAAGGGATTTAGGAAGCTGACGGCA